CAACTAGGCATGGGACGAAACGAGTATCGCGGTATTCGGTATTCGGAACTCGTTTCATTCTCGGTATTCGGTATTCGGGGACTCGGTCTGGTCTCGGCATTCGGTACTCGGGAATCATGATCGAATAGTTGAATTTTCTCGATTGTTTTAGAGCATTAATAAGTGCCATTACAGTTCATTATCTAGCACAACGACGTTTAAATGCAAATTATGAAATTGAAGAAGAAGATACATTGATATTACCTGATCGAACAGCTCGTCAATTTCAGTTATTTCTTGGTCTTGATACATAACCACGATTACTTTTACGTAATCTTGATGATCGCCGACAATTATCAGACAATTCAAAGAAAAATTCTGATCATTCAATTGGATTTCATTTACAAGAAAAATATCGTTTTACTGGAAAAATTATTGTTAGTCTTCAAAACAAAAGTGTTCGAATGGAAACTATTAAAAAAACAAATGAATATTCTGTTATTGAAGATTCATTACGACCAACTGAACAAAATCTTCAACAATTACTTGAACGTATTACATCTTATGGGAATGATCGTAATGTTCAATTATTACAATTAATTGATTTAAATTTACTTTCATCAAAAAGTACTCATGATGAGAAGAAAATTTTTGAAACATTAAAAGAACGATATGATGAATGTATGGAATATAAACATTCAATGATTATCTATGATCTTGATTCATTAATTGGAGTCAATAAATCCGAATCTAAATCATCAATGGGAACTTCAGTTAGTTCATCGGTTGTTAGTCAGAGTATTTATATTTACGTCACAAGTCGTTTTCGTGAAGCGAAAATTGAAGCAAGTCGATCGGATAAATGACAGAAAATTGAACGATGGGCTATTGCTGTTGTACGTGATTCATTTTTATTGAAAAAATTTACTGCTGATGTGGATTTTACTCTTACAACCGAACAAAAAGAACAAGAAGAAGAAGAAAATCGACGATCAAAATCTATTCTCACTTGTGTTAAATGTTGAGATCTTTACCTTGATACAGAGAATAAAATGGGTGCATGTAATTATCATGATGGATTTGTTTATGATAATTTAGCATTAGATTTAAGAAAATATAAACCAAGTGAAGCTATTGAAGAATTAAATCGAGAAGAATTTATTGCATTTAAAGATGCAACTAAAAAAGAAGAAATGGATCAACTAAAAACACGATTGAAATATATTTGTTGTTATGCAACTGTTCAAGTTGGTGGAGGTTTTAGTGGATGTAAAAAAGGCATACATGACTTTGGAAAATCTAAACAGACAAGTTATAAAGAACAAATTTTAGATAAACAAATGATTGATGAATGTTTGTTTTGAAAATCCAGAATATAATCAACGATGGACTGATCTGTTTATTAGAAGATCAAATATTTGATTCTATTCTTTTTTATCTAAATGAAATGATTTTCTTCTTCTTAGAATAAATAATAAAGTAAAAGAAGTTTGATTTTTTTGTAACTAAACATTCGAAATTTTACTGAAGTTAATAAGAAATAATGAAAAACGTAGATAACGCGCAGACATTTTTTCAAATTAAAAATCGTATATCTCGAGGATAGATAGAGCTAGAGAGTTCAAATTTCCAGCAAATGTGTAAGTGACCGAGTTCTGTTTCTCACAAAACTAGTTAAAAACAGTTAATCATAGGCAATCGCCTACGCTGGTCATGATTCTGATGTTTATTTTCCTTGAAAGTCATATTTTGGTTGGAACTTTGAAAATCAGATCTCTAAAAGACCAATCGTCGGCTTCTGATCCAGATAATTCCCAGGGCGCTATAATGTAGAGCACGTCGAATTACCTATGCATTCATTAAAAATAAGTAATTAACAATAGAATAAGACATTTCAAGAGCTGTATATTGAATATTTTGAATGACTAGAAGGAAAATTGTCTGTGCATTACCCAGTTTTTACACGTAAAGAAAAGAAATGAAGAGAAACAAATACGTGTATCGGATAGCCCATAAAAAGTTATCGCTAGAGATCATTGATTAAAATTAAGAAAATTGCTTTAGTTTGGTCGTGGGATCAACTAAGAACCTTTTTTGGTAACACACAGACATGAAAAATGTGGAGGTTTTTGGTCCATTTTTTTGACACAGAACATTGATCTGCAAAAATCTGATGTAACTACAAAGAAAGCCTGAACATTTTGCTACAAAATCGTACATGGCACTTCATGTTTACTCCTTTCTTTCCATGTCTTTCATTTACATTTGAGAAGCCTTGCCAAATCAAGCCTAGATCCAGTCGACCGGTGATCGATTTCGGCCATGTTTCTCAGCTTTATCTATGTTACCGAACCAATCAAAATAGAGTTTCTTATGCAGAAAAGTGTGTACTACAAGATGGTGCAGTTTGTTTTCGAAATAAACCTACTTCTACTTTAATCATGTTGGTTGACCGTTTGCCGTTTTTCATGAAATGATTCATGAAACACAAGCGACGATTCTCAACTGATCAATCGATTTTCAAGCGAAATTCTGCAGGCTCTAATAAGAGCAGTTTATTCAGTACAATGTTTCAACTGAAAATTCGAACATCAACTTGTCTGGTGTCTGAGAGTCGGCACGGTATTGTCATGAAAAACTCCGTCAACATGCAGAATCTCGACAATATGAAGTGAAATGTGTCTGAACTCTTGTGAAGGCATTCATAGATCATTACGGTCTTCGTGACACGCATACTTCCGACTGAAAAGCGATTGATGAGTTGAAGAACCATTCATATTTGTACTAACTTATCTATATTTCTCGACCAGCTAACTCTTTCCTCTCTCTAGCTCTTCTTTCTCATGGAACAAAAATGTTCTTCGGTACTTAGAGGCTTTATGTTGTCATTTAGCAACATCCAACCACTATAGGTCAAAATTTTCCAGTTGTTCGATCAACATCATCACATTCGAAAAAATTATTTTCGTGAAGGGTTAACGTGTAGTGATAATATACAATTTTTTGATTATTTAATAATTCCCTAGTGAATGTACTCAAGTGTGAGTACTCAAAAAGTACTCTGCTAGAAAAACCGGACGAGTACTCATACGTACTCATACATTTTTTTACTCACTGAGTACTCACATGAGTACTCATGAGTGAGTAAC